TCTTTAAAAAATATGGCTGCCAAGCCAGGACCTGATTGTTTATTGTGGGTATGTTGTTTACATGAAGAAATCTGTGTTACAAGTTAAACGAAAATTATATTAAACAATTATATTTTGAATTTAAATAGTTTTTGTCTTGCGTTTACATTAATTTTACATTTGAATAGCCAAAATTACAAGTTTCAGTATTTTAAATGCAAATTTTTTAAAAAAGGTGCGATTAATTAGTTAATTATTTTTAACCGATTGACAGCACTAATATATATACATATATATTTATATATATATATATGCACACACACACACACACACACACACACACACACTCTTGTGGGGTAAAAAAAATTGAAGGGGGGCCCTTGGATTTGCTATAGGGCCCTGCATAGCACACATGCTGCTGATGATGTGACAATAAAAGTGATTTGATTTGATTTGATATAAGTGGGGGTTTAGATTCTCTGCTGAAAAAACAAAGACTGTAATTTTTTCAAAGCAAAAGTATAACGATGAGTTAATTCTGAAGTTATATGGACAAGATATAGAAAGAGTTTCATGTTTTAAGTTTTTAGTTGTATGGTATGATGAGAAGCTCAATTTTTAAAGTACACATTGAGAAAATTGTGGATAAATGCTGGAAAGCACAAAATATAATGAGATGTTTGCTGGATAAAGACTGGGAGCTGAAAGGGTTGCAATGAAAAAAATATATAATGGTTTAATAAGATCAGTACTGGATTATGGATCTATAGTATTTCAATCTTCTAATGTAAGTATATAAAAGGAACTGAATAAAATTCAGTATAAGGCGTCACGATTAATAACAGGGACTATAATGTCTACCCCTTCAGCAGCTCTTCAGATTGAAACTGGGGGAAATGCCATTAAAACCTAGGAGAGTTCAATTGACAATGAACTATTGGGTCAATATAAAGGGACATAACTTTGATCATCCAGTTAAGGAAGTGTTAAAACCTTCAGAAAGGAAGTATTAAAAAAGTCTTGGGTGGATTGTACCAAAAGAGGCAGAAGAAATGGAATCCAACAGTACCATGGTCAATTACGAATGGTTACTACCAAAACCTATTGTTGATACATCACTGGTAAGGAATAGAGATAAGAGTGCAGAGGGCAATTTTAATATTAAAATGGTGCAAACATATCTTAAAGACAAATATTTAATATATACAGATGCATCTAAAGATAGTGGAAATAGAGTGGGGGTAGCAAACACAGTAATAGATTTTAGAAAAAAAAAGTTATTAAAAGAATCTTAGATGATCTATCAGTTTATACTGCAGAAATGGTTTCAATACTAATAGCACTTCAATGGGTTGAGGAAAACAGACCATTAGGAGCACTGGTATGTTTTTGGACTCAAATTCCTCACTGATGACATTAGAGAGTGGACTATCTGAAAGCAGAAAGGATATATTAATCGAGATATTGCAAACATATTGCATTCAGATGATAGGATTAGAAGTTAAGTTCTGTTCCAACTCATAGTGGAATAACAGGGAATGAGTTGGGAGATGAGGGTACGGTGGCGCTAAAGAAGCTACAAGAAAATCAACATGGAAATAAAATATAGTAAAAGTGAGATGAAGGTTTTAATCAAACAACTTTTAAAAAATAGATGGCAAAAACAATAGGAGCAAGGAAAAAATGGGAGGTGGTTGTTTAATATACAAAGAAATGTGGATAAAGGAAGAATTACAAATAGAAGTAGGAGGGAAGAGTGTATAATTTCAAGAATTAGATTTTTACATCCAGGACTCAACAGAACATTGTACAAAATGAAATAACATCAGACTGGAAAATGTGATTATTGTGGGCAAGAAGAAACCGTGGGTGGAGCATGTTATTATGAACTGTCCAAACTTTTCTATGGAAGTTTTTTCCTAACAAAATTAAAATGAAAATTCAAATGCTTAAAAGATCAAATGATAAATCAAATGCTCAAACTATAAATCAAATGCTCAAACCAACATTGCAAATGATAAATCAAATCCTCAAACCGACTCCTCAAATGATAAATCAAATGCTCAAACGGACTTTGCAAATGGTGAATCAAATCCTCAAACCGACTCCTCAAATGATAAATCAAATCCTCAAACTGACATCGCAAATGGTGAATCAAATGCTCAAACTATAAATCAAATCCTTAAACCGACATCGCAAATGGTGAATCAAATGCTCAAACAACTCTGCAAATGGTGAATCAAATGCTCGAACAACTCCGCAAATGGTGAATCAAATCCTTAAACTCTCCGCAAATGGTGAATCAAATGCTCAAACTGACATCGCAAATGATAAATCAAATGCAAATGAGATGTCAATCAACCAGCATAGGCGGAGCTTTAAAGCAGAAGAGTTCATTATTGACAACTACCGGTAGCGCTATGACTTTTTCAAGGCGTTCAGATTCGCGTGCACTATTCCAAGTCGTATCCGTATGAGAAAGAAGTTTTTACTCGTGAAAGAGAAAGCGAGAAATCTCCTACTGCTTCTGTCCACATTCTGAAGTGTTCATCAGATGGGTACATCTATCATAGGAGGCCACTAAAAAGCATACGGCAAGATGATAAAAAAAAACTTAACTGTACAAGCGCAACTTTAAATAAATGGCAGGTTTAATTAATCTTAATTTAAATTAATATTTTTTACATAAGGTATCCTTGTCAAATTTCACCTAATTTGTTGTTACCTTTATTGTGTAACATTTTTTATCCACAAGTAGAACATGCTTAAAGCTCGTTTTCCTGTCTTGTTTGATTATATAATCATATATTCTTATATTAAAAGAAAATCCATTACAGTTGTTCTCTTTTTGCTGTTTTTGTTAATTGTTAAGATACAGCAATACAGTTTCCCTAAGCCTGTAAGAATTTTTTATTTCTGCATAATAATGATTAATAATAATTGTTATTGATAACAATCCCATAATAATACAAATAAAATAGCAGGGACAGAAGCAATAACACCTAATAGCACCAGTAACTTGATAACCCACCTGATAGCCTTTCTAATGTTGGCAAATTGGTACATCTGCACAAAGATGTCGGACAGCAGCTTGAAGATCTTCCTTTGGAGAAATTTTACACTCGAAAAATGTAAGTATTTACTCTAGACTGCAAAGCCCACCCAAACACTTACAAAAATAATAAACGCTGTTCACAAACACACACACACACACACACACACACACACACACACACACACACACACACACACACACACACACACACACACACACACACACACACACACACATGCCACAGCTATGCATGAATAGTCACTTGACAAATGTAGCCAAGGTGAGTACATCTTAGTTTTCGGTCAAAAAATGAAATAATGAAGTTATACATTATTGAAATTATTAATTTATTCATCAACAATTGAAAACGATTCATACTGAAGATGAAGAGACCACACCAGCATCTGGCTCAGATGAGGACACGCAGGCACGTGGAGGGATGCAGGGTCTTGTCCACGGCACTACAGCATCTTCAACATTTCCTTCATCTGCACACTGCTGTTGTTCATCGTCATCACTGCACACACCAGTCCGAGGACATTTCAGATTATGCAAAGCTCTTAATAAAGAAGTCATTTAACAGCACACTTTTTGAGTTTCATTTGAGTTCTGAATTGGAAGTAATAACATGATCTTACTTCATGTTTTGGATTCAGGTTTTCTCTGTTTTCTTGCCTTGCAAGTCCTGCTCCAGCCCAGAAATGGCATATAAATCAACACTAAAGAAATTGTTGTAATAGCTGTTTGAAATAACAATATTTTGTTAAACAAATATGATGATAGCATTTGTTCAGTTACTCTGCACCAGCTAACACACAAACATTTGTGTTTCCTTCTCTATAACAACCAGACAAGTCACGTTACCTCTGTGATTTGTGTGCTCAAAATTATACTTTCATAAATGTATCACCAAATGAACAGAAGAAAACATTACTGTATTAATATTACATGTATCTAACCTAAGCTGTATTGACAAAAGTGCATTCTACATCAGCACAAACAAATCACTCAGACGTCTGTTTAATGTTATAATTTGCTAATCTGCAATACCTCTTATATTTTTCTGTCAGACATTGAATAATCGTCTTTATGTAAATTAACGTTTGAAACGTAACGTCATGTGCTTACAGAAGTTCCTACACGATCATTTACAGCAAGATAAAATAAATATACTGTAAAGCATCTTTACACTTTCAGTAATTCTATAGTTCACTGTACAGTAGCTTAACTATTGCTATTTTACTGTAACTTAACTCAAGGAACCGTCTTTCTGGATTTAATAACTTGTAAGATGTCTGCATCCATCCAGTTTTTCCACAATGTGACGAAGCATCATCATCTTGCCGTATGCTTTTTAGTGGCCTCCTATGATAGATGTACCCATCTGATGAACACTTCAGAATGTGGACAGAAGCAGTAGGAGATTTCTCGCTTTCTCTTTCACGAGTAAAAACTTCTTTCTCATACGGATACGACTTGGAATAGTGCACGCGAATCTGAACGCCTTGAAAAAGTCATAGCGCTACCGGTAGTTGTCAATAATGAACTCTTCCGCCTTAAAGCTCCGCCTATGCTGGTTGATTGAAACCTCATTTGCATTTGATTTATCATTTGCGATGTCAGTTTGAGGATTTGATTCACCATTTGCGATGTCAGTTTGAGCATTTGATTCACCATTTGCGGAGTCGTTTAAGGATTTGATTCACCATTTGCAGAGTTGTTTGAGCATTTGATTCATCATTTGCGATGTCTGTTTAAGGATTTGATTTATAGTTTGAGCATTTGATTCACCATTTGCGATGTCAGTTTGAGGATTTGATTTATCATTTGCAATGTCAGTTTGAGCATTTGATTTATAGTTTGAGCATTTGATTTATCATTTGATCTTTTAAGCATTTGAATTTTCATTTTAATTTTGTTAGGAAAAAACTTCCATACTTTTCTAAAATCATGCCTTACTCCGATCATGGCCCACCCTCCTAACCAGCAGGTGGCGCCAATACACCTAGAAGTTGTATGCCAACCCCCAATAAAACTCAAGAGAAGAAGAAAAAGAACCGGAGCTGTCTTCAGGGCAAAGCAGAGCCGCCCACTAAATTATCAAAAAACAGCCATGAGCATTGCGTGAGTTCTCTAAAAGCTTGTTTTTATTTTGATTAACGCACGATTAAATGCAATGAACACATTATATTTAAATGCCAGTCAGCACGCTTCTGTCTGATACAAGGTTACAAAGTGTTTTCGCTTACAGAAACAGCCTTAGTTCATTGTGGTAGGGCGTATGTAACAGTATAAAGCAATACAGGTTAATGCACGCAGAATACAGATTGTTATGCATATACAGTAATGCGTTTTGGCAATAAAAATGTAAACGAGATTTTGTCAGTAAGGAAAAAAAATCAGAAATCAGACCTCTGCAATACTTTGAACTTAACAGGAAAATAACGTATTTCAGCACACACCTATGTGCATATGTAAAGGTCAACACATTTATACACATAATAGGTTAAATAACTTATTTCTAATAACTGATTTATTTTGTCTTTGCCATGATGACAGTAAATAATATTTTACTAGATATTTTTCAAGACACTTCTATACAGTTTAAAGTGACATTTACTGGCTTTACTAGGTTAATTAGGTTAACAAGGCAGGTTAGAGTAATTAGGCAAGTTATTGTATAGCGATGGTTTGTTTTGTTGACTATCGGGGAAAAACAGCTTAAAGGAGCTAATAATTTTGACCTTAAAATAGACTTAAAAAAATTAAAAGCTGCTTTTATTCTAGCCGAAATAAAACAAACAAATTTTACACAGCACCTTATAACTTGTAAATTTATTACAAATCTGTACATACAATTCAACATCCAGAGCTTTTTGTCTAATTGCATCTCTGTTTAATGTTTGTTGTATTTTTTCATATTTATTTTCGTGTTGTCACTTGTCACTTTATGTACACTGGAAGCTTCCAATGGGCAAACAAATTTCTTGTTTGTGTATAAGCAGACTTGGCAATAAAACCGATTCTGATTCAATATTTACTTTTTAATTTTTTACTGTAATTCAGGAATACTTTTAGGAAAAGGGCAGCACGGTGGCTTGGTGGTTAGCACAGTTGCCTCACAGCAAGAAAGTCGAGTTTGGAGTTTGTATGTTCGCATGGGCTTCCTCTGGGCGCTTAGGTTTTCCCCACAGTCCAAACATGTGGGTATAGGTGTATTGGTTAAACTGAATTGGCCGTAGTGGATGTATGTAGATGAATGTGAGAGTGTATGAGTGTTTCCCAGTACTGGGTTGCAGCTGGAAGAGCATCCACTTCATAAAACATATGCTGGATAATCTGGCGTATCATTGGTTATTTCATGTATTGACCCCTGATCCCTGATAAATAAAGGGACAAAGCTGAAGGAAAATTAATGAATGTTCAGGAAAAGATGTTTCTTTTACCAGCTCTGTGTTGGATATATCTTCATTTCCAGTTTTACTCTGTTTTATGTATTGATGTCTAGGTGGTCACACTCTCGGAGGGGCCGAGGACCCCGGCAGAAGGAACAGACTGGAGTGATCCAGGATCAGAAAGCTGAAGCCTCAGTGCCTCATGGCTCCTGCATGACGATGTGCCCTGCCTACGAGCTACGGCAGAGGGAAGCTCAAAGCCGGCTGCACAGGTTTGAGATGCTGCCCGGCACCGAGCAGGACCGTCTGCCACGTGCTGACATCTCACGTGCTGTAAAAGAGTATTCACGGCCCGCTGCCGGGAAAGATTCCACCAGAGCTAGTGACCTCCGACCACCGTCTGTTCTTTTAAAGACCGTCTCTTATCTGGTTGATGAGGTCGCAACGTCTTCTACATTTCAGCCATGGACGGAGGTATGGAGATGGTAGTCTGTGTTATATAAATCTGTTAGGGCTGAGCGATAAGACTGAAATCTCATACATTTTCTAACTACTGTGAGTAGATTGTCCTTTACCGTTTTAGAAACGGTCACTCCAGGTTATCCCACAGATTTTTAACAGGGTTCATACAGTCATGAAAAACCTGGAAAAATCATGGAATTTTGACATTGCATTTTTTAGGCCTGGAAAAGTTTTGGAAAAACAGAAAAACCCACAAAGTTTTGGAAAAGTCATGGAAATTTGTTTAACAAATATCTGTATACCTGAATTAGGGCTGCGTGACATTGAAAAATTGGACATTACGATATTCTGTATTTCTGTATTTATATATATATATATATATATATATATATATATATATATATATATATATATATATATATATACAGATTGCGACGTGAACACAATTTCACCAGATGACTTAACTGGTTTCTTTAGATTGATTGGGGGGGGATTTTGTAGACGAGTGAATCTCGAATAACAAATAAAAAGTAACTTACAAGATAAATAAAATATAGTAAAGATCAAAGTGAATAATGGTTATCAGGTATTTACTTTTCAGGTACAGATATTGAATAATCAACTCTGCATAGTTTTCAATGTATATTATTTATTTTATTTAAATTTAATTCTTTTAATTTACTTGTGACCAGATGTTTTAAACTCTGAAATATTGAAATGTTCACACAGTCACAGACCTTAAAGGGACAGTTTACTCAAATGAACCCTGTTTTAATACATGGAGAAAATTCTCCCACATGCTCTATTTGTAAAAGCACTAAAACTAGGAATGTTTGATTACAAATGTAGAAATATAAAATAAATATGAATAAAATACTAAACGGCGACGCAGTGGCACAGTGGGTAGTACTGTCGCCTCACAGCAAGAAGGTCGCTGGTTAGAGCCTCGGCTGGGTCAATTGGCGTTTCTGTGTGGAGTTTGCATGTTCTCCATGCGTTCGTGTCGGTTTCTTCCAGGTGCTCCGGTTTCCCCCACAGTCCAAAGACGTGGTACAGGTGAATTGGTTAGGCTAAATTGTCTGTACTGTGTGAGTGTGAGTGTGTATGGATGTTTCCCAGAGATGGGTTGCAACTGGAAGGGCATCCGCTGCGTAGAACATATGCTGGTTAAGTTGGCGGTTCCTTCTGCTGTGGCAACCCCGGATTAACAAAGTGACTAAGCTGAAAAGTAAATTAATGAAATACAAAACATTTTTCAAAACTAATGATTATACGTGCAAAACAAAAGTAAACCTTGTACTTTCAAGATGCTGTTATTTATGTTTTTGTTTGCATCTCTGTAGTGGTATGTAATATTGTGTTCATATAAATGATAAAAAAAAAAGTGTTCATGTAAACAATGTGACACCACAAAATAAGTGGCGCACAATTTAAAAGAATAGACTTTTTATTGTTCATACGATATACTGTGCTCAGCATTTGTAAGTACACCCCTCACAAATTTCTTTTAAATTCATATTTTTAATAGAAAGCTATACAATATGCTATTTGTACATATACATTAGATTAGTCAGTACTGAAGCCAAATCTGGAGCTTATCTGAGTTGTGTCACAGATGTTTTCACACTGCATGACTATCTGGTTTAGCATTCCGTCAGTGCAGTTTTTACACTGTCTGATGGATTGGCGACAGGGGGCTTCACACTCCATGACTTTAAATTAGGAAGAATCGCAGACAACTTTGTCCAAACAACGTTTCACAACCAATCAAACACGAGAAGTGACATGGAAACAATGCAATGTCACGAAATATATCTTTCGATATTAACTACATAATGGAAAAAGAAGGCTTTAGAAAATGTACTTTCTCTTTTAGCTTACCTGGGTTTTGAAGGGAATTAGCAATTTTTCCTCAACTTTTTTTTACTTTTTGACCTGGTTGTGGAATTGCTCAGATGACAAGTCAAACAGACACGGTGCTGGGTCCAACTTTACTTTAGTTTTTCCTCCACTTATTGAGTCCAAATATACTGCCAACCTCCATTTGGCCTGCAGATACCCAGACTAGTGAATGCTGCTCTATTATTGGCTGTAGGTAATCGCTAGTGTTATTTTCAGTCAAAACTCATTTCACACAGCATGATTTGAGTTGCTAACAGGACTCATCGGATTCTCTACTATTGCGATTCTCTCAGATCGCGTCCTTAATAGTTTATACTATGTGATTTTCTCTCGCGTGAACGAGCACCGATTTGCCTTTGATTTCAGGAATTTGTTCGTGATTTCTCAAAACCTGTTGGGGAGTCCAAATCGAAGCTAAAATCATGCAGTCTGAACTCAGCATAACAAAATAACTCAGGATAATTGTCCCAAAACAAGTATACCCATCTTTATACATTATAGAAAAATTTTAAATACAAATTTAACAAAAAAGGAAAAAGCAAGAGAAGCAAAAAAAATAAAAAAAAATAAAACATTTGTTGAAATTTTGTAGGTTGTAATTTATTTTTTGCATTATTTTGCTTGAATTTAATTGTATTATCTTTCGATTTCTAATTATGTTTGGGGATAAAAATATAATTGTAATAAATATCTGTTTAATAATTCTGTTTTGTTTAAGTGCACCAAAATATGTTGCCTATATTCACTGAAAAGGGATAAAAATATTTGTTTTCAAAATGGGGTGTATTCATGAGCACTGTATACTGTATGCCATATTGCACAGCTTTAATTTTCAATTGAAATGCTGCAATAATTTTTTATTGTATATTTTTGTCAACATTTTTCCTACATGATGCTTTGTGTGAATTGTATGTAAAAACACCTTTTTTCCTAATGGTTCATTTTTCCAATATTAAAGGGAAACATCAAATATATGGATGAAAAACTTGCTTTCAGCAGAGCATGAATAATCCTATAACCTCAAATGTTTCAGCCAAGTGTGCCGCAAGCCTGCGTTTGAGTGAGGGTCTCGGCCGTTAGATCGCCCCCTGGGGGCTGGCTGCAGTACAAGTCATAAAGCCCGCCTCCTCCGTGTTAATGAAGGAGACTTGAGCCCAAATAAAAAAAAATTATTACACTTGCAATAAAATGTCCCGAAAGATGGTTCAGGTGGATTAAGGCACTGGTTATTGTGCTGAAATAGGTGCAGATCTTCATTTTTGTAAACAGTTTGTTTTTAGCAGTTATTTAATGCTGGGCGTGTCATCGTGATTGACAGCAGTGATTGACAGTTTCTCAAAGCGCGGCGTCTGAGCCTTCGGCAGGAGACTGAAGTAGACTGAAGTGTTATTATTAGATTTCTGTGTTATTTTACCATGACAAAATGAGTTCAGCAGTAAACTATAGTTTCTGACATACATGATCCTGGTGGAACACTGTTTATTCGCTAAGTTCAGGGCTTTTTTCGGGCTTTATTAGTTTGCTGATACACGCCTAGCCACCCAGATAGCAAAACACAGTTCCGGCTAGATTCTCGCCTGCCGGAGACTTATCTCTTAGAACTCAGACTGACTACCTCTGCTGGACCTACTCCGGATGCCTGGACTCACTACCCAATTCCAGCCCGAGTCAATCGAGCCAGATGCGGCGGCCGAGCGAGCCGGCGCTGCCGCATGCGAGCCGGAATCAGCCCGCGACGCCGCGAGTAGGTTATGCGCTGCGGCCTGGAGCTGGCGCGATTGAATATATAAAACCCTCATATTTGTTAACGTTTTTACATCCATTTGTGTTGATATGACAGCAAACGCATGCTGAGAAGTTCGGGGGGCGTGGTTGATTTTACATAAAGCGTTTGGTTGGAAGCTCGACTCCGCTCATTTTCGCGGCTCCTCCTCTGGCTCCATCAGACAATCCTTCTGCGCATGTCAAGGCTCCAATTTCAGCAGTCTTTTGCGACAGTTTGTGCCCGTCAAGCAGGCGTTTTGCCCTCAAGGCGTTCAATGGGAAAAAGGGCTGTCGCGTCGTCCATATTTTTTACAGTCATTGGTTTCAGCTGCATTATTACTGACATATATTAAATATCACTGCACTGTAGAGAAGATAGGGTGACGCTGTGGCGCAGTAGGTAGTGCTGTTGCCTTACAGCAAGAAGGTCACTGGTTCGAGCCTCGGCTGGGTCAGTTAGCGTTTCTGTGTGGAGTTTGAATGTTCTCCCTGCGTTAGCATGGGTTTTCCTCCGGGTGCTTCGGTTTCCCCCACAGTCCAGACATGCGGTACAGGATAATTGGGTAGGCTAAATTGTCCAGAGTGTGAATGAGTGTGTGTGGATGTTTCCCAGAGATGGGTTGCGGTTGGAAGGGCATCCACTGTGTAAAAACGTGTTGGATAAGTCGGCGGTTCATTCCGCTGTAGCAAACCCTGGATTAATAAAGGGACTAAGCCGAAAATGAACGAGTGAATATTCCTCCATTAAATGTTATAACCAATAAATAACAAGCCAAATATAACCAGATGCATCAAAATAATTTAACCACTAGCTAACAATGTTTATATATTATTCTATATACTATACTACTCCTGTCTTATCTGCCTCAGAGCTAATTTAGTTGGGCTGTCTCCATCACTGCTCTTATCAGATGTCCAATCTGAATTATTTTCATGGTCATCCCCAAAAACCCATCTCATTCTAACTTTCATCTGCAGGAAGAGCCAGTTCTGTCCTTTTCTTCTTTCACTTACTATAGAACATGGTGGTGCTCGCTAATACACTGTTCCCTGTGTTAATATCCCATCAAAAAGTATTGTCATTAAAATTAGATTTTATCCATAATGCAAATGCCATTACCATATGACTAATTAACATTATATCACTAGCATTCATGTTGTTATTGTTACAACTTAAAAGATCACAGCTGATCTTCTAGCTCGCTAACCTAATGCAATATTGCACATTCTACTATTGCAGTGTTGCCATTTAGTTGGATGTTTAATTGATTTAAAAAAAAAAACTAATCTGATAAAAAGAGTTGTGAATATGTCATCATCATAACTTACTGGAGGTGATGTTTCCGAAATGTTTTTTTTTTTTTTTTGTGGATCTGACATAATGTGATGCTTTGTTTTTTAGTGATGTTTACATTTGCATTCAGCAACTACTTACAATAAACGACTGTCAGAAATCGCGCCACAGGAAAAACACTGTATGTCATGTGATTTCCAAAGCACATCATTGGCTACACTAAGGAAATGAACATAAATAGCATGTTGCCTTATGGCACCACAATTTTGTAAAGGGTTAATATTTATGTCCAAAATAGAAATATCCTAGTACTTGTTACAATGTTTGTAACACAGAAAAAAGAGACTTTTTTCAGTATTTTGATGTATTTCATACTGACATGGAATATTGAGTAGACTCAGGACTTTCTTTTGTGTGCCTTTTTTCCTAATAGCAAACTAATGGTAAGAGGGGTATGGCTAATAATATTGTGTCTGAAGGCATCAAACTGACATCATTAAAGAAGCACTGCTATGCCAAAATCAGAAGAAAATGCTCAGATTTTAATTAAAGATTACCAAAAATGTTTATTTTTCAGTGGATTAACTTGCATAGATGAATTTTGCACCTACAGAATATCAATGTGTGCTAGCGAAATTAGCATAGAAATTTTTGATTGCTCACAGACTTGCCTTGTTTCTCTCCTCATCAACAGGTGTATAGTTTTGTGTTTGACCGCCTACGTAGTGTCCGACAGGATATGATCATCCAGCGTGTGTCTGGGCCTGACTGTGTGGCGGTGCTGGAGAAAAGTGTGCGTTTCCTCCTCTACTCCTCCTACAGGCTCTGTGGGCAACCACTTCAGCTTTATGACCCACGCATCAATGACACTCACCTGCAGGAGAGCCTGAGCTGGCTGCTGGAGAGCTACAGTGAGGGAAAACACCAGCATCAAGAGGAGTTTCAGGCCCTCGCTCTACTTTACAACCTGGGTAAGTGCTTACACCTGCTATTGAACCCGTAGTTCACCACAAAATGAACAGGAATTTAACTGACCCTAACACATATTGCATTTTCTTTTCCTCTGATGAACAGAGAAGGTATTTTGAAAAACAGCTTGATGCCAGTAACCATTGAATTCCATTGTATTATTTTTCCTACTATGGAAGTCTACGGTTGCCGGGAAGTGCAAAACAACATTACAAAGTGTGAAACACTTTTACAAAGCTCAAGACAAATTTACATTTTGGAAAATATTTTTACCTATCATAAGACACAAGTACATAGGAAAACGGATTTTACCTAGGACGAAACAAATTTACATTTTTGAAAAGCAATTAAAAAGATGCATAACACCTACCAGTCCTGAAACAAATTTACAATGACAGATTCTTTACGGAAATGTCTTGAGTCAGGTTTGATCATATCTTCTTTGTTGTTCACGTCAGCTGTTCCCTCTTACAATTAGCGCTGGCGTGCTTGCATTACTCACCTGTTGCTATTATGTTCCAATCCATCTCTCTACTTATACCAGCCCTGTCTTATTAGTGGACACTTTGCTACTCCTTTCTACATTTTTGTCTAGTCCAGTCTTATTATTTATTATTTAACCTTTTGCTTACCTGTACTGCTCAGTCACCTCGCTGTGGGATCCGCTTCCTCATCTGCCGTTACCTGCTCCAGCATCCGGTCCTCAGCCCTTTGTTAATCATTATACTGAATAAACTCTTTGTTTGAACTGCGACCTCTCTGTGTACCACACACCAGAAGTGATGCGGAATGTACCACACACCGGAAAATATCAGCTTGTGTGTGACTTTGTAGACACAGGTTACAAGTCCAAAGGCACAGGTTAGCATGAGTCTACAACTATGAAAATCATGTTTTGTTTTGTCATTTCTCACGAGTCCACAACCAAAGCATAACATATGTTGACTGATAAAGGGATCAAATCTGGCCTCAACGTATAGTCCCGAATAGCTCTATTAGATTGATTGATACTCGTGCTGAACTTTTTAAAGGGCCATGAAACCCCCTCGTTTCAGCAGGGTGTTTTCAGACCTCTACTTTGGAAAAAGTCAGAAAAGTGGGCGTGCCCAGCTCTGTTTAGGGGGGAGTGTCGGAGGAACTAAAGTGGGAGGGTGTAGGAGTGTCTATTTGGGCACGCGCCAGTTTCAGTCAAAATACACACAAGAGGAAGTGATAGTGTTTAACCTACATGGACATCTGTAGTCAAATTATTTGCCAAATTATTAAATGTTGGACTTTAACTGCAGTTTGGCTCTTTCATTCAGGGAATTCATTCATGCCCCTCGCAACAAACGATATATTTGATTCGAGGAACTGCTCTAAGCGTGTATTTTTCATGCAATGTTTGATACTGCACGGCGAATGAGAGAAAAAAAAACTCAGCATTTCCCGGAAACTTAGATGCACACGGCAGGTAGCGTCGGAAAGCAGCGCGTGTTATTCCGGTCACAAAATGCGGTGCTAACATTTCTGCACTCAGTGCAATAGTTAACTTAATTCGATACGAACAAACTGAATAAACAAAGAGCACTGGTCGCTCACTTACCAAATTTGTAGAGACAGGACAATCCCTAGCAACTAGAGCCACGTCTTTATGGAGAGAATACTACAAGCGAATCCAGATCTCAGCGTTTGCAGATGAGAACAGCTCTTAGGTAAACAATAATCCCCCTTAGACGCGTAAATTATTGTTGTCGAGCATCACGTACACTGTTAATCCACACGTGATCCAGATAAGCTCTCACAGAGAGAAAATGAAAACGAAACTTAACAAAACTTTGTTTGTTTGTTTGTCTTTGTGGTGTAAACACGGTGACACTAATGATTATTAATGAAGTTGCACAGTAGAGCGCGCTGATTGGTTTGAACCAAGCCTTACTCATGCATTAATGTATCACACTGTAAGACGTAATAAGACTCACTCAGGCACAGACGCCCAGTCTGCACGCTGGAATACATGCTATTATGTCATGACTGTGACGCAGCTTCAAAAATTCGTTTCAAACAGGAAGTACAAATTTGCTTGAAATAACGCAAAAACAACCAATTTACACTTTTTAGTGAAATATAGGTGCCCTAATAGTGTTTTTAGCAGTGTGGGACACATATACGACTGTCAACAGCTCAAAAAATGTGTTTTGGTGTTTCGTGACCCTTTAACTTGGGTTCTAATCCCATTGATGACATGTAAATTATAATTATTTCTTTACATTAGTTTTGGTTATATACTGTTCTGCCACACAAATATTATCAATGATGTTTACATTTACACTGACACCAAGTAATAAGAATATTTATTTGGTATGGGCATGTTTTGTTGCTGTGAAAAAGTGACGAATCTGCAAACTTCTGGAACATCTGGAAAGGGACACCAGTTAACACAGCCGCAACACCGGCTTTGTTCAGTTTACTTTTAAGAGTCCTCAAGCAGATGTTTACATAATGTAGATTTGGCATTATGTCCACAATTACAGTGTTTGAGTGGCCCTCATTAAAATATTAAACTCATTGATGCAGTATGTCTGGTGTTTTCGTCCTTTAGAAACATCAAACACGTTTTTAGCGTTTAGCTCCTTATGTTAAACATTCCTCGACCATCAATTTGTTCATGTTCAGTTACTATAAACTTTATTTACGCCATGTACTCCACAACACGAATTTACCGCGCTCACCGACAGCAACACTTTTCATCGCAGTCACTTATTATGTGTGGTACATTCCCTTTCCATAAAGAATCTGCGGTAAATTTGTTTCGGGACTCCTAAAAGTATTTTGCGTATTGTTAATTGTTTTTCTAATATGTATATTTGTTTCGTCCTTGGTAAAAGGATTTTTCCTATCAATGTAATTGTGTCTTATGATAGGTAAAAATGTTTTCCAAAATGTAAATTTGTCATTAGCTTTGTATAAGTGTTTACCACTGTGTAATGTTGTTCTGCACTTCCCATCTTTTCACCATTTCAAGATGCCTTTTTTGTTGTGCATTCAATAGAAAAAATAAACTCGTGAAGTACTGGAACCACATAAAGGAGAATAAGTGGTGTGTAAATTCCATTTTTGGGTGAATTATCCCTTTAAGATGCAACCTCTAATTTAAGGGATAGTTCACTCTAAAATGAAAATTTAGTCACCTATTTACTTATGTTGTCAAAACCTTTATGAATTTCTTTCTTTTTTGAACTCAAAGATGTTTTGAAAAAAGCTGAAAACTGGTAACCATTGACTTTCATAGTATGAAAAACAAATACTATGGAAGTAAATGTTTAGCAGCTTTCATATTTTGTATTGATGGTGAAATTAAGCTTTCTCAACCAGTGAACCCTCAATTGTATCGGAACAAGGGTCATTACTTTCCAAAGCTTTCCAAATCGGAGCTTGATGAGGACCTCTGCTGGTTAAAGTGTGGGAAAGCACTGTGTTGCAAAAATGTCAAGCGTTCACAACCGACCAATTTATTCAAGACCAATCAGGGCTCGAAATTGCGACCATTTTGGTCACATATGAGCCCGAAATTTTATCTATGCGACCTTAAAATATATTTGGGAGCATTTCTGCGAGTGCTTAAAATTGTTGTGTGTGACCAGTTTTTACTGCAAAATGTTCAGCACATGCGTGGGTTTGGGAGACATTTACGCAGAATGCATCTCTAAGCTCTTTGTCTGCACTTGGAACGGGAAACGCAGCGCTCAGGAATGGTTTAAAACAGTTGTCATGTCAACTTGCAAATCCAAGTCCGTAATGCTTGCCCCTGCTTCGCGCTCTTCTTATTGGCCCACTGCTCTAGCACTGAACGCGAATGATTGGTTAATATCAGCTGTCAATCACTCAGTCAGCGCCTTCTGGCTTCGGATGACAGAGAGCTACTACCGCGGAAAACTAAAGTGCTAAAGATGAGATTGAAGATAACGTGGACAGATTTAGTTTTAGAAACCATCTAGTTACAAATAATGACACATCTTACTAGTGATCATGTGCTGAATGTTAATCCACCTCTACACTTTTCCAAGAGTAGAAGACTTCTGTTGGCTTCAAGTCCGCTATAAAAAGTCTGTGGGATGGAGTTTTCAGGTAACTGTTTGCCACATCTAGCACAAGAGCTTCTGTTTAATCCTTCATATAATTGCCAGATGCTGTCCGCTGTGCAAGGGTCAGCTATATGTCAAATTTAACATCACGTACACCATCGCAAACGGGCTTACACTGAGTAAATTAATATCGCTACTCATGAAAAGACTGGTATGGCTATTAACATGTATGCATGTAATAAGATACAGTATGTGTCAAAAGCATCAGTGCAATATCAGACAGCACTTGTGAGAACAGCACAGTTATATCACTAACAGATTCATTCAAGCAGTGCGTGCAGGGCCGGTGAGTGCTCCGTGGATGCTTTGGTCACTCAGTTCTGTTATAAAAATCTATTTTCTTGTGATCATGGGATTTCGTTGAGACATATTTTCCTCACGCACACATATTTCTATTATTTATTTTTGCTTGTTAGTTTGATTAGTGTTGATTTCAAATACAATAAATCTGTTTGTATAAAACTTGTAGTAACGGTGCTCATAATTGGTGGGTGCGACTAAATTTTGGCTGATGCGCCTAAATTTTTAAAGTTAGGAGCACCGGTGCTACCAAGCAAAAAGGTTAATTTCGAGCCCTGCCAATTCATTCACAGACCAATTTATCGGCGATAAAATGCTCTAAGGAGGAAGCTATTGGATTGAGGCTTTTGTGCTGCACTCCCCAGCTGGCTTCCATTACACACTATGCTACAATATGCAGAGACCTTCTTTAAAAATAGTTGTAAATAATATGCTAATACACTTTAGTATATTTCAAAAGCTTTTTACTGTAAGTTACTATTGTATTTCAGTTGATTTACCTGTGCGTGGGACTGGTACAGTGCTTTGAAACAGTAGAAATGTATATAATCCATGCCTAATATCTTGCTATACGTTTTACTGACCCACAAGGGTTTTTAAACCTTTGAATCAAAATTCACAGCAGTCACATGGGTTAGAGCCCTGCATTTAAGCCCGAGTCTAACGGGGCCTGACTTTTTTATGCCCCTAGGGCCGGGTTTCGGGCCAATATTAACGTCATAGCTAGCAAGCGTATTGGGC